GAAGAGAAGATGAGTCGTTTTGAGGGGGAGGGGAGGTTAACGTTTTTGATTAAAGATTATGAGGGTACATTAATTTAAAAAAAAATAATGAAGTGCACGGTTAAATTATTTATAATAAACACTACAGTATTCCATTAAAAAATAAGAATTTTCCATTTTGATTTCATGGTGACTTTAATGTGAGCATTATCAGTAAATCACACGCAGAATGATCCTCCTCCCATCTGAGCTTTAATGGAAATGAGCTCTAATGCTAATTTGCCCTGTTTAGTAAATCTGGCCCTTGAAATGTAGAGTGTGGGTCATATGGAAACTGTTATGATAATTAGATGTGCTTTTTGTAATTTTGGAGACTGACAGACCCCCCCCACCCACCAACTATAAAAAACATTAATATTTTATAGTAAAGAGCAGCCAGGATAATTTCTTTATACACAACAAAAAAAAAATCTAATTCAGCACAACTAACAAATTGTAGAATTTGTTATTTTTATTGTCATATTTATTTTTAACGTGTGGATGATCCTTACACCACAAAACACAAATGTACATCTGTATTAATGTCACAGCTTCACTCAATGACTCAGAAGTGACTCACCAGAGGATAGAGAGATCAGCCGTCTCACAGAGGAGTTCATTCACATTGTCCATCATCCTAGTGTGAAACTGGGCCATGTTCATGACCTTGGCAAGCTCAGGGTAGTCCTTGAGTGCCAGAGGAGCTTTACTAATGCTGGTGTAAGCCTGAAGAATGCAAAAACATTGGGTCATAAGATCTGTAATGGTTGGCATAACTATTGATGGATTATTGTGATTGCATCTTAGAGATATAATGGATAATTTAGTCTGGTTGAGTGTGTACTTCTTGCATTTATTCATTTGGCAGACATGTTTATACAAAATATGGCTGCAAGTAAAGATTATTTTGCTAATTGATTAACTGGCTGATTATTTCTTCGAATAATCAGATGTAATCGTCTTTATTTTACTGAAAAGAACACCGACAAATTATTCCATCCTACCTAATGTTGTCCTCCAAGTGTGCAAATTGAAAGCCATGAAAACAAACATAGTGAATGTATCTATGTATTCTATGTTATACATTATGTGCAAAATTGAAAGAAAGACTAAGTTTTAAAGAAAAATTACTTTAAATTGCTAAATAAATTGCTATAATAATAATAATAAAGAACACAAAACCACATTTTTCTAGCTGGGTTAAAAACTAGCCCTGTTGGGTTTCCCAGTGGGTGATATAGGTAAATTTGATGTGCTGTAATTAAATAAAGAAACATGGTTCAAGATGTAGCAGTAACGATAAAGATGTTTTAAAAAATCTGAAAAAATGGTAGTGAGGTAAGCATTTTCCTACTGTATTCTGTGAGATCTTATTGATTAGATGAACAAGCTCCCCTCATATTTTCATATAAAAAGTATTCAGGACATTTCAACTTCAGCCACAGTAAATGAATGAAAGTGTGTGTCCAAAGGTCTTCCTACAGAATTTCATTTTTGCCTGTTTTCCTTTCTTATTTAGGCTTCAAATGAATTCAGTTTTGCTTGAGCCATACCTGCAGTCTTAACCAGTCCAGTCTGAATGGTTTCAGGTCAAACTCTTCTCCTGCATCCACTGCAAAAAAAGATCATTAAGTATTAAGTATTAAGAAAGCAAATAAATCTGTATGTAACTATTGTATTTGAATTCATGCTACACATTTTTATCAAAGACGCTGCAAGATGACAGTTGAGCAATATTTACTTCAATCATATCATATCTATTTCTCAGATATGAAGTGCACCTTAAACCACACATACAAACAAACCACAATACTATTTACAAAATATACTTTTTCCAGAGACCAGCTGCACAAAGCTAATAGAACAAACTCTAATTTCAGAGTTTACAAACCCAAACAAATCCAACCCAATTAAGCAGTCACAACACTCGCTAAAAACACTGTTCTGCCGCTACCTATGCGCAGAGTATACAGCTTGTTTAGAGAAATCAGAAAGAGAACTCACAGTGCTTGAGACTCATTGCAGACAGAGTTGAGACAAATGATGACATAAGAACTGATTCTTCCTCCGGACAGACGTACATTCCCTGAAATGAGAAGATAGAAAATAAAGCAAAATGGCAAACCTTCTTATAGCAATGCAGAACATTTTTTGTGCTTCAGTGAGCGGTGCCATGTGCCAGAGTACCTGCACGGTGTCATTCAGCGCTAGAGCATCATACTGTGACAAGTACTGAAGATGGTAGCGTTGTATAACATATCTGTGTTGAGCCAATAGAGTGCGCAGCTTTTCCATGTAGTAGAGGAGCTCTGCCATCTGGCTGTACAAAAAAAACATTTAACATATGAACATATGAAAGGTTCATGTGATGGTGCATTTCACACAAAAAAAAGAAAAAGAAAAAGAAAGTAAAAGAAAAAAAACAAACTACATTTTTGTCTGATCACAGCTCTCACTCTCTAACAGCCCCAGTCAGACTACCAGTGCACTATACTTTCACTTTTTAACATTTATTTTTGGTTTTTGCCATTTTCTTTATTTAAATCAAATATAGCGTATAATAATTATAGGTGAGCAAAGTAGGACAGAAAGGTGAGTGGTTTTGGCAGAAAGCGACAGCAGCAACCTTCTCACAGTTCTCAAATGCTTTTTTTTTTTTTTTTTGGGTCCAGGGAAATGAAACAAACCGACATTATAAATAGTAGCTGTAGAAAGAAACATTTAATTTGATCCAACATAAAATTTATTAAAACATTTATTAAACTTAAACGTTTAGGCTAACATAAACTATGGAACATAAAATAAGATAATTTGAGAAAAAAAAAAATTTCCTTTCAAGCAATGGAAGTCATTGGTAACCAAAACAGCTTTGTTACCAACAGTCTTCAAAGTACCTTATTTTATGTTCCACAGAAGAAAGTAGCCTAAGTCATTCAGGTTTGAGTAAATGATGACATAATTAACATTTTTGGGTGAACTATTCCTTTAAAGGTTTTTTTTTTTTCTTTCTTCATTTTTTCCTTTTTTTTTTTTTTTAATAAAATGATATTTTAAATAAGAACCTAAAAATGCCAGCAGGTGGCAGTAAATGTCTTTATGAGTCATTCATACATTCAAACGGCTGATTCATTCAGGAATGAAGTACGGCTCTCTCTCTTTATAAATGGGGCTTTGAATAATTGATTCACACGATTCCTTCAAAACGAGGATTCATTCAGAAACTAAACACCGCTGTGTTGCTCACAGATGCACAACAGTTCTGCTGTGGCTTTATAGGTAATATTTTTGTTGACAAAACTAAGCAAAAACAGACAATATTCTGTTTAAAATATAACACAATATTAACTTCTTATTTACTGTACTGTTGTATAAAATCACATTTGCACTCGGGACAAACAGCACTCATGTGATATTGCTCTCGCTGCTTTATCTCGCTGTGATATCGCTTGTCATGTGATAACAAAAAAAAAAGAAAACAAAATGAGACAAAAACTCATACAGGAGCATTTTTGCCCCAATATCTTGAATTTTGAGGCATAATTGCGTTTATGGAGTTGTTGCCCTGCATCATATTTGTCAACAGTCAACTGTATAATGCAAAATGACGTACACTGTGACGTACAGTGACGTACACTGGCCCCGTCCCCAGACCTGTCTGTACGTCGTGCAGACAGGTCTGGGGGCAGGGCCAGTGCGTTAACTGCGTTAAAATATTTTAATCGCGTTATTTTTTCATAACTAATTAATTAAGTTAACGCGTTAAACTCACAGCCCTGATTTAGATTGATGGATATAAATAATCAAAATGCTTGTGAAAGAGTATAATTGTCCTACAAGAATAGTGAACGTTTTGCATCTAGTCTTCAAGAAAAACTATTATCTGTCTCTGACTGCATAAATCTGCTCAGTAAAACCCTCAGGTTTGGCTGTGTGAAAATTAAATGAATTTTCAGAATGTAATACAATGCAGAGTTGAATTAAACTGAACATTAATGGGAGCAAAAAAGAGTGATAAAACAATGTCCTGGTTATGAGAATCCACTACAAGACATTGAATATAAGTCAGTTGTTTATGTTGCTTAAATGTAAGTTTGTGTAGATTCATGTTTAGACAATGACTATCAGAATACATAAAGATACATAAACATATACAAAAAGAAACATAGCCAGGAAAAGCCACATTTACATTTCCTATATTTTTGGAAATGATCAACTGGGCAAATGCTCTGACATCACATTATCTGAAAGAAAAGCCATTTACAACATCTGAATCCATAAACTGGAGTTTATACACACACACACACACACACACACACATATATATATATATATATATATATATATATATATATACATATATAAATCGAT